GCTTGAGGTCCAAGTGGAGGATCCCGTGCGCGTGCAAGTACTCGACGCCCGCTANAACGTCGTGGAATGGTCGCACGCTAGGCATCGCGCGAAACGAAGACTTTCGCAGATCCATGTACGCTTCGAGGTCGCCCTGCGCGTGCTCGAGACCTGCCCGGGCCGGCGCGCGTCGATCGACGCGGCGCGATTCGCACGCGGGCGCTGCGATCGCGCCCAGCACCAGCTGTCCGCATCGGTAGCCCGAAACGATGAGCTTGACGACAAAGGCCGTGCACTGCAGGGACTTGAGCATCATGAGCTCGTTCAACGCGTCTCCGTCGCCCTCGTGAGGAATCTTGAGCGCGAGACCCTGAGAAGAATAGTAACGCGCGAAGGTTCAAACGCGGAGCCTGGCTCTGGGGACGAACGCGGCTGCGATTCCCGACGAGAGCATAGAGAAGCGATCCATAGCTGCCGCCGCCGAGCTCCATGGGCTGCCCGTCGTCGTCCAGGACGTACTCGATGGCCTCAAACTTGCCGTCTTGCTTGACGAGCTGGTGCTCGTCCATGCAGCACGACTTGCCTTCGGCTACGGCTCGTCGGGCCGCCACGTACGCCGCTTCGAAATCTTTTTTGAGCGGGCGACCTAGACACGTGCGGTACGGACGGGGTCGGATCGCGCGGACCCGGGACCGCGCCCTCGGTGACGACGAGGCTCGCGTCGCACCCCATGCTCTCGAGCGCGCACTTCAGCTCCGCGATAGTCTTCTTTTTGGCGTCGGCCGACGCGGTCGTCTCGTCGAACTCGTCACGGATTGACGCTTTGGCGGCCTCGAGCCCCTCCCGAGCCTCCGCGGCGCGATCCTCACGCTCGCGCGCGAGCTTCTCCTCGACATCCTTTTTCGCTCGCGCCATGGTTTCCACGTCTGCGCGCAGCTGATGTTCCCGCGTCGTCGCCGCGTCGCTCTGGGACTCCTTCGCGGCGGCGAGCGCCGCCTCGAGCGTCGCGATCCGTTCCACGAGCTCGTGCTCGCGCTCCGCCTCCTCATGAGCGAGCCGTTCTTGGACGACGGCGAGATTGTCCGCGGCCGTGCGCCTCTCCGCCTCGCGCGCCGCCGCCGCCTCGCGCTCCAACTTGCTCCGCGCCGCCGCCTCGCCCTCGCGGGCCTCTTCGGCCGCACGCTCGGCCTCGTCCGCCGCGGCGCGCTTCACCGCCTCGAGCTCGAGGGCGTGGCCGCGCTGCATCTCGCCGCGCCGCTCCGACTCCGCGTCCTCGCGCGTCTTCCGCTCGGCCTCGAGCTCCGCGCGCTCCTTCTCGAGGCGCTGCCGCGCGACGTCCAGCTCCTGCTTGTGCGCGGCCACGCCTCCCTCCACGGCCGCGATGCGTTCCTTGAGCATGGCGACTTCCTCGAGCGCGACCTCCTTCGACGCCGCCAACGCTTTGAGCTCCTGGTCGCGCCGCGCGATGTCGGCCTCCGCCGCCGCGCGCCGCGT